ACCAAACTTGCGTAAACATCAATTTTTGACGGTCCTCGCGAATTTCCTGGGTCGGCGCCTGGACCTCCCAGGCGGTGCCTCTAGCGCCGTCCCTGGCGCGTTCCGTGCGCCAGGGAGAGGGTTCCAGAGTAGACCCGAGAAATCCAGGCGGACCTCAGACAATTTATGTAGATGCCGTGCTATGTTCCTCTGAAGAAGGGATTTCGTCTGTGGCCTGTCCCTGTCTCCGCGGTTGGCCAGTGCTGGCCGCCACGGCAGACTACCAGCCGCCTCGAGTCCACCGGTGAGGAAGGCGTGGTAGCGGCAAGGAAGCATATGGGGAGTCGTGACCTTTCTAGGAAAGGACGAAGGGATTGTGTTGCAAGAGCTGATCCGCCAAACTGCTTAAGCCCGAATCGCTGGCAGGATTTGCGCAACGCACGGCAATCGTTCGACTTCGTAACCGGCTCGAGATCGTCAGGCAGTTGCAAGAGGAGCAGAATGCGCGCGCCATGCTGCAGACCAGCATGCAAACAACCCCTGATACAAAGGGCACACCAGATATTGATTGATCGGAGAGTGCATGTGGTAGAAACCGAGGTCAAAGTTGTCAGATGTTTTTTCTCTTCGCGTACCTCTTTCCCATTGCGAACCGTACACCAAATCGTTGTGGAGGCCAGCGAACGATTCGTGCATGTTTGTCGTGGCAGATGTTGACTTCGTCCCGTCCTGGGGATGGCAGGAGAGGTCATGCAGGGACTAAGCTAGGTGTCGGCAGGGTCGGGATGCCTCCAGTGCATGTTTCTTCACGTGCCATGGCTGCTCTAGCCACAGGGCGGCATGTGGTGTGGGGCTTCGTCGGGACCGTGTGCGGGCGACCCTTTGTTCATCGGGGGCCATGGAGTTTCTTGGATTCAACTGGCTGGCGCCACATCCGCCGATCTTTGTATAAATCACGGCGCCTCCAGGGCTGCATTCCACGACGTCGTTCCTGTTGTCGTCGACGACGTGCCTTGTTATTGTTTTCGTACTTCGCGCGTGTTTCGTTATCGTTGCGCGTCGTTATTCTTGCGTCTTCGTTTGTTTTAATCATCGCTGCTGTCATCGTCGTCGTCGTTGTTGTCGTCGTCGGCCCGCTTCGTTTTCAGTCGTTATGACGCTCGAGTATCCACACCAGCCGTAGCCTCTGGCTCAAGCCGTCTCGGGTCAAGCCCGCCGCTGGCTCAGGTTCGGCGCTCGGGCCCGGGTGATGGAAACTGCGGCGGCGCGGCGGCGCCGGCAGGTGCGTGCTGTTTTCCAACGCCGCTTGGATGCTGCTGCCGCGGCCTGCGACTGACCGCTGGGGCTCCCCAGCGCGGCCAACGCGAAAGGCGCTGCTGGCGCGGCAGACGCGGCCGCTCCCCGCGGCGCGTCCGCCGCCGCGAGCGCAGCCAACGCCGCTGGCGCCGCTGGCTCGGGTTGCCCCGCCGGCGCTGGGCCGCTGCCGCCCTGGCTGGCGGCGGTTTCCACCTCCGCTGTTGCTGCCGCTGCCGCTGCCGCTGGCTTCCCGCCGGCAGTGGCGGCGGCGGAGGGCGCGGTGGCCGGCGCGGCCGCCGGCGGCGCGGCGGCCGCCGGCGGCGCGGCCGCCGCCGCTGCCACTGCTGCCGCCGCTCCAGCGGTGGCGGAGGCCGGCGGCGCCGTGGCCAGCGCGGCGGCCGCTGTCGCTGCGGCCGCTGCTGTCGCCGCCGCCGCCGCCGATGCGGGTTCCTCGCCGGCGGCGGCGGCGGCGGTTGGCGCGATGGCCTGCCTGGTGGCCTGCCCCGCGGCCACTCTGGCGGCCAACCCCCGGACCAGCCCGACAACCAGCCCCGCGGCCAGCCCCGCGGCCAGCCTGGCAGCCTGCCCCCCGCGCTGCCCGACTGCCGGCCCCACGGCGTGCCTGGCTGCCAGCCCCGCGGCCCGCTTGACGGCCAGCCCGTTGGCCCGCCCCGTGGCCAGCCCGACTGCCGGCCCCGCGGCCCGCCCCGCGGCCTGCCCTACGGCCCGGCCCACGGCCAGCCCGACGGCCCGCCCGACTGCCAGCCCCAACGGCCGGTCCCACGGCCAGCCTGGCCAGCCGCGCGGCCAGCCGGACGGCCAGCCCGACGGCCAGCCCCATGGCCAGCCTGACTGCCGGCCCCGCGGCCAGCCCCACGGCCAGCCCCACGGGCTGTTCGGCTGCCAGCCCACGGACAGCCCCACGGCCAACCCGACTGCCAGTCCCATGGCCAGCCCGACGGCCAGCCCGACTGCCATCCACGCGACCAGCCCGACTGCCAGCCCCTCGGCCAGTCCCACGGCCAGCCCCGCGGCCAGCCGGACGGCCAGCCCGACGGCCAGCGTCGAGGCCAGCCCGATTGCCAGCCCCGCGGCCGGCCCCACGGCCAGCCCCGCGGCCAGCGTGATTGCCGGCCCCGCGGCCAGCCTCACGGCCAACCCGACTGCCAGCCCCACAGCCAGCCCGACGGCCAGCCCGACTGCCAGCCCCACGGTCAGCCCGACTGCCAGCCCCGCGGCCAGACCGACGGCCAGCCCAACGGCCAGCCCCGCGGCTAGCCTGGCGACCAGCCCTGCGGCCAGCCCGACTGCCAGCTCCACGGCCAGGCCAGCTGCCGGCCCCACGGCCCGCCTGACGGCCAGCTCGGTGGCCCGCCCTGTGGCCAGCCCGACTGCCGGCCCCGCGGGGCCCCACAGCCAGCTTGACGGCCAACCAGACTGCCAGCCCCGCGGCCAGTCCCACGGCCAGCCCAGCCAGCCCCATGGCCAGCTGGACGGCCAGCACGGCCAGCCCCGAGGCCAGCCCGACTGCCAGCCCTGCGGCCGTCCAGACCCACTGCAGGCCCGGTTGCCAGCCCCGCGGCCAGCCCTACGGCCAGCCCAACAGCCAGCCCCACGGCCAGCTTGACGGCCAGCCCGACTGCCAGCCCCGCGGCCGGTCCCACGGCCAGCCCGACTTCCAGCCCCACGGCCAGCCCCATGGCCAATTCCACGACCAGCCCCGCGGCCTGTTCCACGGCCAGCCTGGCTTCCAGCCCCGCGGCCAGCCCCGCGGCCAGCCCCACGGCCAGCCCGACCGACAGCCCCACGGCCAGCCAGACTGTCAGTCCCACGGCCAGCCCCACGGCCAGCCCTACGGCCAGTCCCGCGGCTGGTCCCACGGCCAGCCGGCCGGCCTGCCCCACGGCCAGGGTGAAGACGGAGAGGACCTTGCCGACCGTCCAACGCAACCCACTGGCGACGCGACCCCTGGGGGCACCCAGCCGCCTCGGATTCCAACGGACTCTGCGACGGTCAGTCGCCTCCACTGGGAAGAGTGAAGATAGTCGCGAGTCGCAGGAGGAAGGGGGGCCCACCGCTGGGGATGGGACCATCGAGGGGGCGGCGGAGGAGTCCCTGGAGGAAAAGTGTGAGGAGAAGGAGAGCGAGAGCATCCCGGAGGACGACCTGGGCATTACGGTGGAAAGAGACAACGGGACCTTTGAAGACGAGGCCGCAGTCCGGCGAATGGTGGACAGAGGGCGAATCGCTGCTCTCCGCCCCTGCCCCCCACGTCCCCCAGGGCCCCCCCGTTCCCGAGCATGCGACCAGCCCGCTGCAGGCCCCGCCGGCTGCGAATTACGCGGGTGCGCCGCCTCTGCGGGCGGGCTTTGTCCGCGAGATCACCCCTGCGCTGGCGTCGCCTTCGACGGACCGTGCGGGGGCGCGCGGCGACGGGGGCCCCCGCCGTCGCCCGCCGCTGACTCCTCCAGCCGATGGCGACCCAGTGTCCGAACAGCGCTGGCCCTGCCGCCCCCGTGCGTGCCGCCTGCCCGTGGGGGCGGGGCGGACCTGGGCGCATCGCTTACTATGCCCTCGCCCCCCGACGCGAACGGGTCTCTTATGGGCGCAGACCTGGGCGCGGGCCAAGCATCGGAGCAGTCGCCTGACGAGTCCGCTTCGGGGGCTGGGGCGCTCGCGGACGACCCGCCGGCCCTCGTGGAGCGGGTCGAGGTGTGGCAATGGGCGGGGGGGGCACGCCAGTGGCGCGACTTCTGTCGCGCCAACGAGGCGATGGGGGGGCCCGGCGCTTACGATCCCGCGCGCCGCGAGCCTGGCGTCCTCCGCCGGTTCTTAGCGCTCGCGGGAAAACTCCCAGACTGCCACGACTATTTCGAACTGGCCCTCACCGCGATGAGCCGCGGTTCTAATCGAGCGCGTTCGGGGCGTCATCCGCTCGTCCCCGGATCGCCTTGCACAGTGGGAGTGGCGCGCTATCGACTACGAGAAGCCTGGCAAAGGCAGAGCCCACCCCTACATTGTACTCATGCAGGTCATCGTCGCTGGCATGCGTGCTCGCGCCGGACACGAAAGGATTTCGGTTTGCGTTCCCGTGGGCGCGGCTGCGCCTTGGGGCTCCCGCCTACGCTGGCCCGCTCCACTTCAGGCCTGGAGTGCCTACCGCGGCCCTGGGCGCCGGCCTGGCGTGCTGCCCTCCCCACGCCGAGAAGTCTACCATTCTCTTCTCATTGCCACGCCAGGCACATGTTCCACCATTCTCCTCCTCGCACTGGTCACCGGCATGATCTTCCACAGCATGGCGTGCTGCCCTCCCCGCGCCGGGTAAATGTTCCACCATTCTCTCCTCCTGCTTCCTTCTTGAGCCTGTTGTCTTCCATGGCTGCGACGGGTAGTCGCTCCTCTCCTCCTGCGTTCCCCGCGCCCGCTGTTCATGTGCCCTCGTGCCCCCAAGCTGTAGCGGTTATCTGCGTTCCATGTCCAGGCGCCTTCATCTCCCATTGCTGCAGCGGTTAGCTGCGTTCCGCCTCTGCCATGTTCGCCTGTTTCTCCCGCCGTGCTCCTCGTCCGCCCTGCCCGCGGCCTCCGCCCCTCGCCGAGGGCGCGCAGAGTCGTGCAGCACCTCGCTGACAAGCAAGATTGGCTCAATGACCACAGAGTCGAGCAGTGCCTCGTCGAGCAGCACGTCGCTGATCAGCACGACTGAGTCTTGCTCTACGGGATTGCGCCACGGAGTCGAGCAGCACCACGCTGGCCAGCACGACCGAGACCAGTATGACGGGCTCAAGTACCACAGAGTCGAGCAGCGCGCCGCTGACCTGCGCGACCGAGACCAGCACGTCATGCTCCATTACCACAGAGTCGAACAGCACCTCGCCGACCAGCGCGACCGGCTCAAGTACCACAAAAGCTAGCAGCACCACGCTGAGCAGCGCGTCGTTGACCAGCACGACCGAGTCGAGCACCGCGGGGTCGAACGCCATTGAGTCGAGCAGCACCGCGCTGGTCAGCACGACCGAGACCAGTACGACCGGCTCAAGTACCACAGAGTCGTGCAGCACGTCGCTAACCTTTACGACCGAGACGAGCACGTCAGTCTCAATTACCACAGAGTCGAGCAGCACCTCGCTGACCAGTACGACGGGCTTAAGTACCACAGAGTCGAGCAGCACGTCGGTGCGCGGGATGTCGCTGACCAGCACGACCGAGTCGAGCACCGCGGGATCGAGCACCACGGAGTCGTGCAGCGCCGCGCTAGCAGGCACGATCGAGACCAGCACTACTTGCTCAAGTATCGCAGAGTCGTGCAGCAAGTCGCTGACAAGCACGACCGAGTCGAGCACTACAGGATCGCGCACCTCAGATTCGAGCAGCACCTCGCTGACCAGCACGACCGGCTCAAGTACCACAGAGTCGAGCAGTACGTCGTCGAGCAGTGCCTTTCTGACCAGCACCACCGAGTCCAGCACCGCGGGTTCGAGCACCGCAGAGTCGAGCAGCACCTCGCCGACAAGCGCGACCGAGTCCAGTACAACTGGCTCAAGTACCACAGAGTCGGGCAGTACTCCGCTGACCAGCACGACCGAGACCAGTCGACTGGCTCCAGAAGCACAGATTCGTGCAGCACCTCGCTGATCAGCACGGCTGGCTCAAGTACCACAGTTTCGAGCAGGTCGTCGTTGACCAGCGCGACCGGGGCCTGGGCGATCAGCTCAAGTACCATGGAGCCGAACAGCACCCCGCTGACCAGCCACGACCGAGACCAGTACGATTGGCTCCAGTACCACAGAGTCGAGCAGTACCTCGTTGTCCAGCACGACCAGCTCACGCACCACCGAGTCAAGCAGCACGTCGTTGACCAGCGCGACAGCGTCGAGCACCACGGGATCGAGCAGTGCGTCGCTGCCCAGGACGTCCGAGTCGTGCACTACGGAGTCGAGCAGTACCTCGCTGACCAGCACTACTGGCTCGAGTACCACAGAGTCGAGGAGCTCGTCACTGACCAGCACGACTAAGTCGGGCTACACGGTGTCGTGCAGCACGTTGCCGACAAGCGCTACTGAGTCAAGCACCACGGGGTTTAGTACCACAGAGTCAAGCAGTACCATGCTTACACGCACTATCGAGCACCACAGGATCGAACAGCACCTCCCTGTCCAGCGCGACCGACTCGAGCACCACGGAATCAAGCAACACGACACTGAGCACCACGACAGAATCAAGCAGCACCATGCTGCGCAGCACCACTGAGTCAAGCACTACATCGGTGACTGTAACGATAGCATTCAGCAGCACATCACTGACCAGCTCATCGGAATCGAGTATCACTTCACAAACGAGCACGACCGACTCAAGTACCACAAAATCTAGCAGCACCACTTTGACCAGCACGAGCGTGTCGAGCAGCACAAGCACCAGTCTGACGTGTACCGCGGCATCGAGCAGCACATCAATTACGAGCAGCACTACGCTGAGCAGCACCGCGGTGAGCAGCACGACCGAGTCGAGCAGCACTACCTTGTCCAGCATTACGGACACCAGCAGCACTTCGCCGAGCAGCACGGTGTGCAACCGACTCCCTTGTGTCTTGTTCCCTTGGCCATCACCACAGGCTCCGGTTACTGAGTCCAGTGGCACGTCGCCGACCAGCGCAACTGAGACCAGTAGCTCGACGATGGGCACCAGTGAGACGAGCAGCACGACGAGGACCTTCACAACGGAGTCAAGCACTACAGGCTCCAGCAGAACAGAGTCCGGCATCGCGTCGTTGTTTAGCACAACTGAGACAAGCAGCACGGCGACGAGCGCTGGTGAGTCGAGCAGCGCGACGGTGACGAGCACCACGGGGCCGGGCACCACAGAGCCGTGCAGCACGTCACCGGCGTGCACCACCGAGACGAGCTGCGCGGCGACGAGCACCACGGGGACCAGCAGCACGACCCTGACGAGCACAACCAGCTGTAGCACGACAAGGTCCTGCAGTGAGTGGCTGACCATCACCACTGAAACATGCAGCTCGGCAAAGAGCACTCGGGGGACGAGCAGCGCGCGTTGACCAGCGCAGAGGCGTCGTGAAGCACCTGATCCAACATGGCGCGGTCGAGCAGCACTATGCCGACGAGCACTGCCGAAACATGCGGCGCGACGACGTGCACCAGTGACGCCAGCATGCCAGTGTCGTGCACAACGGAGTCGGGCACCACGGGGTCTAGCACTACAGAGTCGGACAACATGTCGCTGGCCAGCGCCTCCGTGACGAGCATCGCGGCAACGAACGCCAGCGAGTCGTGCAACACAACGCTGTCGAGCACAACTGGGTGCAGTACCACGGGATCCACCCCGCGGAGTCGAGGAGCACGTCGTTGACCAGCACCACCGTGAAAAGCAGCCTGGCGACGGGGGCCAGCGGGACTAGCAGCGCGTCGGCGACGTGCACCACGGGTCTTGCTAAGGGATCGAGCAGCGCGTCGCCGACGCGCACAACTGCGACAATCAGCTCGGCGACGTGCACCGGGGAGTCGAGCAGCGCGACCCTGACGAGCACAAGAGGGTCGCGCACCGCGGGCTCCAGACCAACGGGGTCGATCGGATACCGCTGACCTGCACCACGTAGCAAGCAGCTCGACAAAAAGCGCCAGTGGACAGTAACGCGACGTCGACGAGCACCATTGGCTCCAGCACAATGGGGTCGAGTAGCACGTCGGACGTGCGCAACTGAGACTAGCAGCGCGGAAACGAGCACCAGTCAGACGTGCAGCTCGAAGCCGACTAGCATCACGGGGTCTAGCACCACGGGCTCCAGTGCAACGAGGTCGTGCAGCACGTCTTTGACGAGCGCAACTGAGTCACGCAGCACGGCTGCGAGCGCCAGTGGGGCTAGCAGCGCGCCGCCGACACGCACCTGGGTCGAGCACCGCAGGCTCGGGCAGCGCGTCACGGGGCCACGCCGCCGAGACAAGCAGCTCGGCAACAATCACCAGTTGGACTAGCAGCACGACGTTGACGAGCACAACGGGGTTGAGTACCGCGGGCTCCAGCACGACGGGGTCGTGCAGCACGACGCTGGCCAGCGCCGCCGCGCCCGGCAGTTCGGCGACGAGCGCCGTTGGGCGCGCAGCAGTTTGCTGCCGCAACGGGGTGCCTACCGTGCCGGGCGTGCACTGGGATCAAGTATCACGCCGGGGCCGGGTGGTGCGGTGCCTTCTGGCTGCCGTAGGCCGCGCCCTCCCCCCCCTGCAGATGGCCGAAGGGTTTCAGTGGGCTCCGATGCTCGTGTCTCCTGCTTCCTATTGCTGCGGCGGTTAGCTGCCACAACGGGTTGCCTACCGTGCCTGGCGAGCACTTCCCCTCCTCTCCTTCGTTTCACCGGGTTTATCCCACGCGGCTGGGGTTGCCGCCAATGCCGCTGCCTGATGGTGTTCTGACAGCCTGAATTCCATGCAAGGTTCGCACTGAGAACGGGCGGTCAGGTGGCCCCTGACCTGCTCCTGGCTGGTGTCGGCCCCCACTGGTGACGGGGAGGGTTCCGTGAGGTCTCGCTTCGAATTCCATGCAAGAATCACACTGGGGATGGGCGGTCAGGTGGCCCCTGGCCTGCTCCTGCTTGGTGTCGGCCTCCACTGGTGACCGTTTGGGTTTCGCGGGGTCTCGCTGCGCTGCCGTCCTCTTCGGTGCAAGGACTTCGGCATGTGTGGCTCTGTGCACCCGTCGGCTGCTTTCTCCTACGTGGTCTTCGCTTTTGACCTGTGCCACCGGGTGTACATACAACCCCCTTTTCATTCTGGCGCTGACACGGTGCTGTCGTGTCACCTACCGCACGGATGTCGTCCTGGAGCGCCTGTCGGACCTGCTCGTTTTTGTCGGGCCTTATGCCGACTCACACCAGGTGGTCGACCTCTGCGTGTTCATGGTCGTGCCGCCGCGCCATTTTTGGTTGCGCTTACTTGATGGTCGCCACCCGGATTTCCACGCCACCAGGTTGTGAGTGCCGTTCCTGGTCCTCCTTCTGAGTGGCTGCCCGAGCGCTCGCTTCGCTAGCCCCTCCTCTTTTCTTGCTGCCTAGTCGCGGCCCGGCTAGGGTTCGGACGGCTTTCGACTTGCTTCGCGAGCCCGCAGACCAAAAAAATATCAACACCAACCCATCCACAAACGATGCTTAGGCGAGTTGCTTTGATCAGGAAAACGGAGGAGCATGCAGTGAATCAAGAGCAGGGGAAGCCGTCGTGCTGAAGTCTTGGATCAGCCTGCGCAGACCTGGGAGCGAACCGTGTGCGCCTCCGCGGACCTGCCGGATGAGGGCGGGCGAGGAAAAAAGGCCGAGGGGGATGAGGGAGAGGAGGAAGAGGAGGAGGAGGAGGAACAGGAGGAGGAGGTGGATGATGATGATGATGATGATGATGATGATGATGATGATGATGGCGATGATGATGAGGGTGATGATGATGCTGCTGATGATGATGATGATGACAATGGTGATGCTGATGATGGTGATCTTGATGTAGTTGTTGATGATGTTATTGTTGTTGATGATGATGGTGATGAGGGTGATAATGATGCTGATGCTACTGGTGCTTGTGCCGATGTTGTTGTTGAATGGTGATTATGCGGATCATGATGATGATCATGATGATGATGAGGATGATGATGATTATGATCATGGTTATGTTTATGATTATGCTTATGATTTTGATTATGATGATGGTGATGCTGATGCTGATGATGATGACGATGCTGATGGAGAGATGGAGAGATGGAGAGGAGGAGGAGG